GAGGGAGGGAGGGAGGGAGAATTCTCCCTGGAGCACGAAGAGCAGGTGAAACAAATAGGTCAGGAACATGCAGAAATAAGTTATTGCTGTAGTCAAGGCAAGGCAAGAGGATGGGTGGCGATTAAGTACAGGAGGGAAGTGGGGAACTTTTAGAGATATTTAGGAGGTAACTTTGGCAGGCTAAGAGATGTATCATTCTAGGAGAGAGGGAGAAAAGAGACTCTAGAAGGCTCCAGAGTTTTGGCTTAGGAAAATCAGGTGTGCTGTCGCTAGAGGACTTCCATTAAAAGGAAGCCAGCGATTCCAGCCTGCTTCCAGCTCTGGGTTGGAACAAGGCTTCCTTTGATATCTCCTTATGTCTCTGCCACACGCAGGAACGGCAGCCAATGCACCTGCTCCAAGTGGACATAGCGGTTAAGGCTGAGCACGGTGCCGATCACTGGAAGGGGCATCTGAAAGTCAATTGCCTTTGTAAGCTTGCCCTACCCTTGGTGTGTATTCTCTTTTCCAGAAATTTCTCTAGAAGCCTGTGTCTTTCCGTTTATCTATAACGATGTCGTCTACTACAATTGCATCTCAGTCCACAGTGACTTTGACTGGTGTTCTCTTGACAAAATATTCCAAGGCAGGTGGCGCTACTGCAGGGCAAGCGGTGAGTATCCTGAGCAGCCTAGGATGGGCTGTCTGGGAGGCCCAGGACCTGGCTGCGTGGTTGATGGTGGCAGATAGGCTTGAGTTCAAATCCTGACTTTTCTACATAACTTGAACTTGCGTGAAAACAATCGAGTGTGGTAGAAAAAGCACGCTGCGCTCCTGGTTCAGCAACGATCGCTCTTAAGACCGTGTTCATCATTCTCCTTCTGCACCTCCTTGTCTGCAGATCCCCCCCAGTGTGTCTTTCCCTTCTCATTCAGAGACAAACTCATTGACCATTGCACCAAGGAAGGCTTTATTTTGAATCGGAGTTGGTGTTCATTGACCAAAGATTACAACAAAGACAAGAAATGGAAGACGTGCTCTCCTCTCAAGTAAGATGGCCGGGGAAGGGTGGAAGGGGGGGTCTTGTGGATCTCTTAATGTGGGAACACTCTGGATCAGGGGTCCTCAAACTTTGTAAACAGGAGGGCAGTTCACTGTCCCTCAGACCATGAAGGGCCGTTGGAGAGTGCGGCGCACATTCCACGCATGCGCACTGTGGGCCGGGGACCAGTTGGCTGCTAAGCAGGACAGGCAGTGGCGGCAAAAACACCTGGCGGGCCAGATAAATGTCCTCGTCGGGCCGCATGTGGCCGGCAGGCCGTAGTTTGAGGACACCTGCTCTGGATTCATGAAAGGGGAAGCTTGGGATCTAGATGATCTGGTAACGGCTTAGAGCAGGAGTTAGCCAACATTTCTTGTGAAGGGCCTGATATTTAGTAAGTATTTTAGGCTTAGCGAGCCATATGTCTGTCACAAATACACAATTCTCTCCTTGTGGTGGCACAAAAGCAGCCAAAGGCAAAACAAAAATGGGTACTGGCTGGGCTCAGTGGCTCACGCCTGTAATCCTAGCACCAAGGTGGGAGGATTGTTTCAGCTCAGGAGTTCGAGACCAGCCTGAGCAAGAGCGAGACCCCGTGTCTACTAAAAATGGAAAAAGTAGCCGGCCATGGTGGCGCATACCTGTAATCCCAGTTCCTTGGGAGGCTGAGGCAGAAGGATCACTTGAGCCCAGGAGTTTGAGGTTGCTGTGAGCTACGATAATGCCACTGCACTCATTCTGAGGTGACAGAGCAAGATTCAGTCTCAAAAGAAAGGAGGGGGGAAGGTATATTATTTGGGTCATGAATCCACAGAAAGACCAGACTTCACTACTATGCAATATAGCCATGTAACAAAATTGCACTGGTAACACTTCAATTTATACACTTTTTTTAAAAAAAAAAGTAAATGTGACTATGTTCTAGTAAAATTTTATCTGTGGACTCTGAAATTTGAATGTCATGCAATTGTCAAGTATCAAAAAATATTGGTCAAGATTTGCTTTTAAAAGTTAGGCTAATAGGAAAAAAAAATATTGGTCACCATTTATGCATTTATTTGGGGGTAAGCCATTTAAAACTGAGAAAAGAATTAGCTCCTGGGCTGCATAAAGATAGATGTGTTATTTCAGTGATTAAATACTCATTTAATAACACATTAATACAGGGAGTAATTTCCTCTTCTCCTTCTACTCCCTTTCACAGCAGAAAAGCAAACTAACGATTCAGGATGTGCTCTTCCAGATTCATTCTCTGCATTTACACTTACGTATATGTTTGGAAGTTCATGTCAAACATAAATGAATTATACTATCCCCTGTGACCTGACACTTGATCTTCATTTAATATATATTATATAGATTTTTCTGTGTGAAATATAAATAATATGTGTTTATAATATAAATATACCATTCCCCTATTTTTTTTTTTTGAGACAGAGTCTCGCTTTGTTGCCCAGGCTAGAGTGAGTGCCGTGGCGTCAGCCTAGCTCACAGCAACCTCAAACTCCTGGGCTCAAGCAATCCTCCTGCCTCAGCCTCCCGAGTAGCTGGGACTACAGGCATGCGCCACCATGCCCGGCTAATTTTTTCTTTATATATTATTTAGATATTAGTTGGCCAATTAATTTCTTTCTATTTATAGTAGAGACAGGGTCTCGCTCTTGCTCAGGCTGGTTTCAAACTCCTGACCAGGAGCAATCTGCTCGCCTTGGCCTCCCAGAGTGCTAGGATTACAGGCTTGAGCCACCGCGCCCGGCCATTATTCCCTTATTAAAGTATAATTGGATTGTTTTAAATATTTTAATACTGTCATGACCAAGTGGGTACCTTCTATGTTGATCTTGGAGGAAATGTTTCGGTTGGTGTTTTTTCACCCCTATTAGAAGAGTTGAGTAAAATCACAGAGTCAGAAGATGTGTACATGATCATTTTCTGTGTGTGTGTATAAAATTTTAAATTATTCCAAATTATCCTCTATCTATATTATGAGACTGCCTGCTTTAGACAACTTTTTTAACCCTGAAAATAATCAATTTAATGAATGTTGTTCAAATAACGAACTTAGTATAACTTATGTGGTCATTAAAATAATCAATAATGGCATACGCAATTTGAGAGCGAGAGAGAAATATTTATACCCTTCTCAGACTACTCATCTCTCAGGCTCCTACACCCGTCTCCAGCTCTGTCTACTCGCACTGTTTAGTTCTGGGGGTAGACCAGATCTCCCGCCAGAAAGGAAAATAAATTATCCACCAGGGTGATTGACAGACTGTGACAGGGACGCTTGCAGGTGGCACATGATGACACCAATTCCAACCTCTCTTTTTTTCTCCGCAGTTCTTAGATAAGTCTTGGTGTTCCCGAAGAGACGGAAGTTACAGATCCATCGTCTGCCTGTCAGAACAGAATTCTATCCTTTCCCATCCTGAACATTGTGATCAATAAAGACTTGGTCTCCTTGCCGTGTGGACGGCTCCTTCCCTTGAAAGGAAGGCACAGCCAGCGCTCAGTGGGGACCAGCACAGCGCTGACCATGTAGGAACCCAGCAGTGGCCCGACCCGCGGGACCTTTTGTTACTCGCGGGGGTCAAGGGGGACCATGCCTGAAAGAGATGGGCGAGAGAAAGGAACGAGACCAAGCAAAGGGTTGTCAAGGTCTGCTTTACTAGGTTTTTGGTTGGTTTTATAAGCATACAGAAACAAAGAAGTAGGGAGGGGCAGTGGGGGGGTTAGGGTTGATCGGTCAAAAACAGTTTAGGATCAATCAGTTACAAACATCCTAGGGTTTATCAATCACAGATAGCCTCTGGCGCCAAGCCTGGAGGGTTTATCAGTCACAAACAGCCTCTGGCGCCAAGCCTGGGATATCTTGCCATCTTTCTCTGAACGGCCACTAAACACCTTCTGACAGCTCAGAGTATTTATGGGTTAAGACCCTCAAAGGCCTCGGTTCCTAACACAGCAGGGCATGTTCAGGGAGGAATTTGGGGACAACCAGTAATTGTATACGTGTATGGGGTGCAATGTGATGTTTTGATACGTGTTTGCAATGTGGAATGGTCAAGTCAGTATAATTAACAAAACTGTCACCTCATATAGTTTTCATTTTTTGTAAAAGATCCTAATGAATTGCTAACAGTATAATCCTTGGCAAGTTAAAGAATCTCTCAGAGTGGATTAATAAAATGTGGTATATATATATACCATGGAGTACTATTCAGCTATAAGAAACAACAGTGATATAGCACCTCTTGTATTTTCCTAGCTAGAGCTGGAACCGATTCTACTAAGTGAGGTGTCCCAAGAATGGATAAATAAGCACCACATGTACTCACCAGCAAATTGGTTTCACTGATCAACACCTAAGTGGACATACAGGAATAACATTTATTGGGTATCAGGCACGGGGGAGGGGGGATGAGGGGATGGGTATATACATACATAATGAGTGTGATGCATTAGCCCATCTGGGGGATGGACAAGCTTGAAGCTCTGTCTTGAGGGGGAGGGGGGTAAGGGCAATATACATAACCTTAACATTTGTACCCCTATAATATGCTGAAATAAAAAAAATAAAATAAAAAAGAAACTCTCAGAGAACTTCAAGCTTCCCCTGATATACATCTTTAAATCATTTCCGGTGAAATTCACATGACATATAACTGACCACTTTAAAGTGAACAATTCAGTGGAATTTAGTATATTCACAATGTTGTGCTACCATCACCTTTATATAGTTCCCAAATATTTTCTTCTTTTTTTGCCTTGAGACACAGTCTTGCTCTGTTCCCTAGACTACAGTCCATGGCATCATCATAGCTCACTGCAAACACAAACTCCTGGGCTCCAGCAATCCTCCTGCCTCAGCCTCCCCAGTAGCTGGGACTACAGGCATGCGCCTCCATGCCCGGCCCATTTTTTCTATGTATATTAGTTGCTCAATTAATTTCTTCCTACTTTTATTAGAGACAGGGGTCTTGCTTTTGCTGAGGCTGGTTTCAAACTCCTGACCTCGAGCAATCCACCTGCCTCGGCCTCCCAGAGTGCTAGGATTACAGGCGTGAGCCACCACGCCTGGCCGTGACTTCTATATCTTTAGTGTCTCAGTGTCTCTCTCTCTCTCTCAAATTCCCCTTTTGTAATCCATGAATTGTTTGTTTTGTTTTGTTTTATAACAACAGTTTCCTTGAATTCTGTACTGGTAAGAAATTGTACTCCGTCATTTGCTCAAATCAGAAGACCTTCTTTTAGAGGCTAAATTAGCAAAAATCTAGCACAACAGTTCTCAAACATTTGATCTCAGAATGGCTTTACACTCCTAAAATGGACCGATGTCCCTCAGTTGGTTTATTTTAGCATCACCTATGCTAGATAAAGGGATACACAGATAGCTGGGGAAGCATTAATTGTGTCTAGGTATATCTGCAAGGATGATTCCAGAAGAGATTGGGGTTTGATTCAGGGGACCTAGAAAGGAAGATCCCCCCTCAGTGGGGGGCAGGCGCTGAGGGTCCAATCGGAAGGAAGAGGCAGAGGGAAGGTGCTCCTTATTCCGCATTCTCTGCATTCCGTATTCTGCATTCTCTCTATTCTGCATTCTGCATTCTCTGCATTCTCTGTATTCTGTATTCTGCATTCTCTGTATTCTGCATTCTGCATTCTCTGCATTCTGCATTCTCTGTATTCTGCATTCTGCATTCTCTGCATTCTCTGTATTCTGTATTCTGCATTCTCTGTATTCTGCATTCTGCATTCTCTGTATTCTGCATTCTCTGCATTCTGCATTCTCTGCATTCTGCATTCTCTGCATTCTGCATTCTCTGTATTCTGCATTCTCTGTATTCTGCATTCTGCATTCTCTGTATTCTGCATTCTGCATTCTCTGCATTCTTCTCAGTGTGCTTGGACATCAGAATCCCATGTTCTCTGGCCTTTGGACTCTGGGACTTGTGTCAGCGCCTCCCAGATTTTCAGACCTTCGACCTCCAGGTAAGAGTTACCTCAGCCCCCCTGGTTCTGAGGCCTGCAGACTCCGACTGAGCCAGGGCACTGGCTTCCCCGGTTCTCCAGCTCGCACACGGCCTGCCACGAGACTTCTCGGCCTCAGTGACCAGGGACGGAGTGGGGACACATAATGGGGTTGGGGCAGCCAGCAAGGGACTGTGGGAAATTCCTTATATGAAAGCAGGGTCCCTCCCAGAGGAGTCGCATAGCTCCTACTCGGTTCGGCAAACGTGGTCCCTACCAAGGTGGCGAGACAATAATAAAATATCCACCAGCATCTCAAAAATCGGTAGCATTCTGCGTACTGATGGGAGTTGCGCGAGCGTCGTTCAGGTTAATGAGGTGAGGAGTACAGATCGGCGCTTTGTTCTGTCTCCCGGGTGTCTGCACGCTCTGTTCACAGCAGACATGGAACTGGATCTGCAAGGGACATTAAATGGCCCATCGCTGGGCACCTGGAGCAAAGAATGGCCCCAGGCCTCCTCGTCCTTCTTCCCACCCACTGCTGAAATGTTCAGACTCCCCGCCGCTGCTTCAGCGGGACCATCTGCAGAGTGTGCAGATTTCCGGGCAAGGTTGGCAGAGTGCCAATGATACAAAGGTCTCCAGATTTCTTTCAGATGCAGCAGTTTTGTGGGTTCATTTCGTGTGTGTCGTTAGAAGATCATGGAGAAGAGAACTCTGGAGTTCCACGTTGACAACTCGCTGTCTCTGGGGTCTGTTCTCCCCTTCTAGCACCTTCGACGGCCTAGATAACCCCCAGGGATGCGTGAGATTCCGGTAGCGTGAGACAGCTTCAGCTTTGCACCATGGAACTGACGGAGGTCAGCTCACAGGGAAGATTCACGTAGCTCTGGCGGAAGTGCTGACACGTGGGACCAAAGAGCCCTGTATTAGTGTCCCCTGGCTGCCATAACAAATTGCCACATACTTGGTGCCTTAAAACAAAGGCAATTTATCCTCTGAGTCCTGAAGGCCAGAAGTCCAAAAGCAAGGTGTCAGCTGGGCTGGGCTCTCCCTGAGGGCTCTGGGGGAGGATTCTGCCCGCCTTTTCCTCCTCCCTGTCCTGGTGGACATTCCTTGGCTTGTGGCTGCTACACTCCATTCTCTGCCTCCATCTTTTATGGCCCGTTCCTCTGTGTGTCCCTCTCTTCTCCTCTTCGGTCTCTCCTAAGGACAGGTGTCATTGAATTTATGGCCCACAACTTAATTACTGACAATCCCATCTCCAGACTCTTCACTCCATTCTATCTGCAGAAACCCTCTTTCCAAATAAGCTCACGTTCATCGGTTCCAGAGGTTACACCATGGGCACACCTTTCCGGAGGCCACAGTTCAAGCCACTGCAAGCACAGACTCCGCCATGACACTGCCTGGGTGTGAATCCCAACTCTGCCACATGACTTAGTAAAAACCTTAACCACACTCAACCCCATTTTTCCAACTCTAAAATAGAGATAATATAATAATAGTTCCTTCGCATGTATGAAAGCCTGTGTGAGTCAAACAGCAAGAATTGGCATTTTTTCACTCACTTCTTACTGAACTTCACACATTTGAGTTTAGCTCCATTTCTCAGACATGACCCACTGAAATTGCAGGTGGCTCTACTTGAAGGAAGACATTTTCCTCTCGACACAGCAAGTGCTAAGACTCTTCTCAACTCACCTGCCTGAAAATTTGAGCAAATCATCTGTTACGTTAAATTTTGCCTAAAGCTGCTTCCTTAGGCAGCAAACTGCAACCTAAGCTAAGATGTCAACAAACTGCAACCTCACTTGACGGGATAGCCTCATGGGAAGTATCTGAGTCTCAGCCAATCATAGCAGCCGGGCTCTGAGCGAAGCCCAGGCCAACCAATCACATATGTCTGAATAGGGCGAACACCCGGATGTTACCAATCAGGCTATTCCCGAAGGTTGCTTCCTGTTTCCGTCCGTAAGGACTGCCCGCCCACTTTGCTGGCCTTGCCCTGTCCCGTGTGCTCACGCTGCTTAGCTCCTGGGGTAGAGTACGTCTGTCATCGGGGTGGAAAATAAGTAGTCCTTCACGGTGAGTGACATACTGTAAAACTAACTCTTGCAGGGTGACAAAGACAGCATTCTATCCTCACGTCTTTCTCCACAGTATTTGTGTAAGTCTTCTTTTTATAGTTATTATTTTTCATCTTTCCAGAGATATTTAATGCTGAAGTGATCATATCTACAGTTTGACTCATGCAAAATCCAGATTCTTTTGCATTCATTTTAAAATTTATCTTGGAGGTCCTTTCTCATCGGGTGTGTTGCTCTTTTTATACACTTACAGGGCATTCCATTGCATAGATGGACCATAATTTATACAGTAATAATGGCCATTTTGGCCATTTCCAAACCTTTATTGCAAATAATGCTTAGTTTATTAACTTTGTACATATGTCTCTTGAACATACACAACTACATCTCTAGGATAAATTCCTATATGAGGAATCACAAGGAGAAAAGTATTATACTTTATATTTGTTGAAAATGGCCTACCCTGAAGGCTGTATCTGTCTTCATCTCCACCAGAAATGAGAGAAAATGCCTGGTCCACACCCTCTGCATAAATCATGCTATCAAACCTTTTGGATTTTTATATTTTGATAAGTAACATTTAATTCTGTGTCATTTAATTTGCATGTCTTTTGTTGTGAGTTTTTTCTCATCTTTCCATATGTTTAAGAGCCATTCTTATTTTTCAGAAATTGTAAATTGTGACCTATACTCATGTTCTTATTAGCTTTTTATATTTTGAATTATCATTTTACAGAAACTTTTTATAAATATGAGAAATTAGCACTTTGGTTATGATATGCATAATGAACATTCTCACAACTTACTTACCTTTTGATTATATTGGTTCATGCCATGCCAAAATTTTATGAAGAAGACCCCAAAGGCAATCAAAGCAACAACAAAAATAAATAAATGGGACCTGATTCAATTAAAAAGCTTCTGCACAGCCAAGGAAACAATCAGTAGAGCAAATAGACAACCTGCAGAATGGGAGAAGATATTTGCATGCTATACACCCAATAAAGGGCTAACAACCAGAATCTACAAAGAACTCAAGCAAATCAGCAAGAAAACATCAACCAACCCCATTAAAATGTGGGCAAAAGGTCAGGCTCAGTGGCTCATGCCTGTAATCAATCCTAGCTCTCTGGGAGGCTGAGGCGGGAGGATCGCTCAAGGTCAGGAGTTTGAAACCAGCCTGAGCAAGAGTGAGACTCTATCTACTAAAATTAGAAAGAAATTAATTGGCCAACTAAAATTATAGAAAAAATTAGCCGGGCATGGTGGCACATGCCTGTAGTCCCAGCTACTCATGAGCCAGGAGGATCGCTTGAACCCAGGAGTTTGAGGTTGCTGTGAGCTAGGCTGATGCCACGGCACTCTAGCCCAGGCAACAGAGTGAGACTCTGTCTCAAAAAAAAAAAAAAAAAAAAAAAAATGTGGGCAGAAGACACAAACAGAAGCATTTCAAAAGAAGACAGATCAATAGCCAATAAACATGAAAAAAATGTTCAACATCTCTAATCATCAGGGAAATGCAAATCAAAATCACAATGACGTATCACTTAACTCCAGCGAGAATGGCTTTTATCAAAAAGTCCCAGAACAAAAAATGCTGGCGTGGATGTGGAGAGATAGGAACACTCTTACACTGCTAGGGGACTGCAAACTAGTACACCTCTATGGAAAGAGTATGGACATACCTCAAAGAACTAAAAATAGACCTACCATTTGATCCAGCAATCCCACTACGGTGGATTTACCCAAGAGGAAACAAAGACATTTATTAAAAGAGACACCTGTGCTCAAATGTTTAATAGCATCACAATTCACAATTGCAAAGATGTGGAAACACCAAGTGCCCATCAATAATGAGTGGAATTAATAAAACGTGGTATATGATGTGTACCATGGAATTCTACTCAGCCATAAAAAAATGGTGAGCTAACCTGGATAGAACTAGAGACCATTCTTCTAAGCCAAGTATCACAAGAATGGAAAAACAAACACCACATGTGCTCACCATTAAACTGGAACCAATCGATCAACCACTCTATTTGGCACAGTTTGAAATAAAATCGGATCAGAAATCAGGCAAGTGGAGGGAGGAGAAGCGATGGGTAAATTCGACGCCTAAGGTACAGATGCGCACATATATGGTGATGGTCACATGTATAAGCTTTGACTCATAGCACTGGTAGCCAGAAGAGCGCAATGTCAGTGGTGTGATAGCCAAAAAATTGGGGTACCCGCGATAATGATGTCCTGAAATAAAATGATAGAATTTAAATATATCCATTCGTCTGGGTCCTAATAACCATGGACATTAAGAATTTTTTTTTTTTTTTTAAAAATCCGTTACTGAGAGGGAGTAGCCTTCGACATAGCACGACTCAGAATGAAACTGGCAATAGGAAATAATGTACGAGTAAGTAGCTAGGAAGAGGAACAAAAGATGGCGGTCTGTTTCTTCAAGGTACTCCTTAGGAAATCTGTGTTATACGTCCAGCTCGCTCCTTTGGGGTCTTGCGTGTTCAGATGTGAAGCTGATCGAGTCCTATGGATTCGGTTCCTGTGTGGCTAATGTGTGTGACTGTGTGGTGAGGTGGTCGTCACATCTGGAATCCTAGCTCTCTAGGGGGACGGAGGTGGTGGATCGTAAGGTACAGTTCGATTACCGCCTGTGCAAGGAGTGAGACCCCCTAGGATACTGCCTCCGCTGGAGAATGTAAGAAAAAGAAAAATTACAAAAAAAAAAAAAAAAAAGAGCGAGACCCTCGTCTCTACTAAAAATAGAAAGAAATTAATTGGCCGACTAAAAATATAAAGAATAAACTAGCTGGGCATGGTGGCACGTGCCTGTAGTCCCACCTACACGGGAGGCTGAGGCAGGAGGATCACTTGAGCCCAGGAGTTTGAGGTTGCTGTGAGCTAGGCTGATGCCATGGCACTCTAGCCCAAGCAACAGAGTAAGATTCTGTCTCAAAAGAAATAAATAGATAAAAGAAAATAATAGTAGTTATTTAAATTCTCAATGTGGTAGATATAAGAATTTTCTTAACTTGGTGCCTAAAATCTGAAAGTACTTAATAAATTCCTAGTATGTTAATGATTAAATGGCAAATTAAAACTGGATCTTGTAGCCCAGTTAGAGTTGAACATAAATCAATCCCCACATCTGTGTACTGAAAGTAAGTTCTTTGCTCAAGAGATTGTAGTTTATGGTTTCTAAATTTCCTTCTAGCTTTTTTTGGTTTGGTTTGGTTTGGTTGTTCCTGGGTAGAGTGCAGTGGTGTTATCATAGCTCACTGCAACCCCAAATTCCTGGGCTCAGGTGATCCTCCTGCCTCAGCCTCCCGAGTAGCTGGAACTATAGGCACACACCACCACGCTTAGCTAATTTTTCTGTTTTTAGTAGAGACAGGGTCTGGCTCTTGCACAGACTGGTCTTGAACTCCTGGCCTCAAGCAATCCTCCGGCCTCAGCCTCCCAGAGTGCTAAGATTGAATCCAGGTGTGAGCCTCCACACCCGGCCTATCATTCTCTTTCATGCCTCAAAACTTCAGCATATATTTTCTAAGAACAAGGATATATGCTATACATCCACAGTAAAATTATAGAAATCAGGGAGTCTCACAGAGAAACAATGTCATTATCTAAATCCACATTGCATATTCAAATTTTGCCAATGGTCCCAATGATATAGCATGTGTGTGTATGTGTGGCCCAGGATTCCCATAATACTTAGTTAACATGTTCCTTCAATCTGAAACATGTACTCAGCTTTTCTTTCGTTTTCATAATAATGTGACGATTTAAAGAGTACAGGCTTATTATTTTGTAGGATGTTTCTTGATTGGCATTGATATAATGTGACCTTATGAGTATATTCAAGCCTAGAATTTATGCTTAAGATACGCCCACATAGAAAGGGAGGAGGAGAAAAGGAAAATGACAGTGGAGACCCAAACATGACCTCTGATGACCACGGCCAACATCGTGAGTGCCAGGCCATGTTGACAGTACATACTCTGGGTGTGATGTGATGATAATGGTATTTGTTGCTATGACCTTTCTCTCCAAAACCCATGAACCCAGTCCAATTATGAGAAAAAAAACATCCAATAAATGCCTGAAGGAACATTCTACAAAATAGCTGACCAGCACTCCTCCAAATTGTCAGGGTCATCAAAAACAGAGAAAGGCTAGGCCGGGCGCTGTGGCTCATGCCTGTGATCCTAGCACTCTGGGAGGCCGAAACGGGTGGATCATTTGAGGTCAGGAGTTCAAGACCAGCCTGAGCAAGAGTAAGATCCCATCTCTACTAAAAATAGAAAGAAATTATTTGGACAGCTAAAAACATATAGAAAAAATTAGCCGGGCATGGTGGCGCATGCCTGTAGTCCCAGCTACTCGGGAGGCTGAGGCAGGAGGATCACTTGAATCCAGGAGTTTGAGGTTGCTGTGAGCTAGGCCGACGCCACGCCACTCACTCTAGCCTGAGCAACAAAGTGTGACTCTGTCTCAAAAAAAAAAAAAAAAAAAGAGAGAGAGAGAAAAAAAATAAAACTCTTATAAAAAATAAAGTGTATTAGAAGTCCTTGCATTTGTTAGTGAATTTCCAGTTCTCTCCTATGAACTCAAACTCAGGTCACCTCCAGAGTGTCGTCTGAGTTCACAATTGCTCAATATCATTAACCTTTGACTATCAATCACGATACCTACCTTTCTGTACCAGCCAGCAAACTTTGCAATAAACTGGGCAAAGGTTAATGATTGTTTTATCTTTACCATAAAACCCAATGTGCCAGCAGCTGCCACAGCCGCAGCTACCGTTGGAGGCTGACCCCCTAACACCAAGCACAAAGAGCCGATCATCATGTCAGACGGCTACATGTGGTATGAAGGGATAGCTTTTCCCGTCGTTGAGTACAGCTCTGAAATCCTAAGAAAAGTACGTCATGAGTTTGTGCTAAAGGACGAAGATGTAGTAGCAGTGACTTACCCCAAATCAGGTAAGGAAATGGAACCCTGAACTCAGAAAAGCTGTGGTTGTGTTTTTCATTCATTCAGCAGACCATTGGATTGGAGTGCTTTTTTTTTTTTCTCTTTTTTTTTTTTTTTTTTTTCCTCTGAGACAGTCTCTCACTTTGTCGCCCAGGCTAGAGCTCAGCGACCCAATCCTAGCTCACTGTAGTCTTCAACTCCTGGGCTCAAGTGATCCTCCCAAGTAGCTGGAACTACAGGTGTGCACCACCAAGCCAAGCTAATTTTTTTTTTTTAATTTTTATGGAAACAGGGTCTTGCTGTGTTGTTCAGGCTGGCCTAGAGCCCCTGGCCTCAAATCCAGGCGATCCTCCCACATCAGCCTCCCGAAGTGCTGGGATGGCCGGCGTGAGGCACGGCCTGTGGCCTGGCTGGAGTGCTCTCCGTAATGCCAGACAATGTGCAGTGTTGTGGGCGGGGTGGAGCAATGCCTGGCAGCATTTACATGCAGAGGAAAGGATTCAGTGGGGAGATGACACAGTACGATGAGTGTTCAGAGGGGGTAATCTAAGGTATTAGGAGAACCCATAGGAGTGAATCCTAAGGCAGATTCAGGTGTTTATCTTGGTGGGAAGAAGGATGACCACTGAGGTCCTAACAGAAGCAATAGAATCTAAATTGAAATGAAAAGAATGAAGGTGAAATTACTTGGTGAAGGGGGACATTTTCACGTAGAGGAATCATCATGGACAATGGTCAAGAATTGGAGAAGAGCCTGCCACATCCAAAAGACTGGAGGATGTGGATTGTATTTCTATGGGAGTGGGGCTGGGAGGCAGGAGTATTGCAAATTGGACAAAGGTTGTAGCCAGAGGCTCTGGGAGTGGCATGGCCTTGAAAAGCCAAGAGCAGGCCAGGAGAGCTGACTCACGCCTGTAATCCTAGCACTCTGGGAAGCTGAGGAGAGGGGATCTGGCTCACGCCTGTAATCCTAGCACTCTGAGAACCTGAGGAGGGAGGATCGCTCGAGGTCAGGAGTTCAAGACCAGCCTGAGCAAGAGTGAGAGTCCCCGTCTCTACTAAAAATACAAAGAAATTAACCAAACAACTAAAAATAGAAAAAATTAGCTGGGCATGGTGGCGCATGCCTGTAGTCCCAGCAACCCGGGAGGCTGAGGCAGAAGGATTGCTCGTTTGAGCCCTGGAGTATGAGGTTGCTGTGGGCTAGGCTGACGCCATGGCACTCTAGCCCGGGCAACAGAGTGAGACTCTGTCTCAGAAAAATAGGAAAAGAAAAAAAAAAAAAGAAAGAAAAGCCAATAGCAATGGGAATTTATTTTAAAAAAACTTCAGCAAATAGCCAAAAACTGAAAGCAACTCAAATGCCCGTTGACAGATGAGTAGATAAACAAAATGTGGCATATAGACACAATGGAACATTATTCATCCTTTAAAAGGAAGAAAATTGTGATGCATGCTACAGCCTGGATAAACCTTGAAGTCATTACGCTAAATACACATGAGAGGTGTCTAGAGTAGTCAAGTTCATAGCAACAGAAAATATTAATACGATGTGGTTGCTAAGGGAGGAATAGGAGCTGTTTAATAAGTATAGGGTTTCAGTTTTGCAAGATGAAAAAGTTATGCAACACTGGGAATATACCGCTCCAAAACTGTATGTTCAAAAATGTTACATTTTAAGGGCATTTATTGAAACTTTAAAATCTGTACCCCCATAATATGCCGAAATAAAAAAAAAATGTTACATTGTATGTTACAAGTATTTTACCACAAATTTTTTCAAGGGCAGATTGAAACGAGTGACCGTGATTTCTCCTTCTTCGTCCAGGAACGCACTGGCTGGCAGAGATTCTCTGTCTGATCCAATCCAAGGGGGATGCCAACTGGGTCCGATCCGAGCCCCTCTGGGACCGCACGCCCTGGGTAGACAACGAACACGGGTTCACATTACTGAGCCAGAAGGAGGGCCCGCGCTTCCTCAACTCCCACCTCCCCATCCAGCTCTTCCCCAAGTCTATCTCCAGTTGCAAGGCCAAGGTCAGTGCAGCATGGTCAAGACATGTTTGACGGATGCTTTTCAGACTCTAATGTGCCTGTAGATCACCTGGAGACCATGTTAAAATGCATCCTCCCTCAGTAGGTCTGAATGGGTCCCTAGATCCTGCGTTAGGTGATGTCAGCGTGGCTGTTCCACGCTGTTCTTTTTGAGTACGAAGATACATACCATTTCACAGATTGCCCCAGCCAGACTGAAACCAGAATAAAGTGACCAGATAATGCCAGAATCAGAAAACCACATTTTTTTTTTTTTTGAGACATAGTCTTGCTCTGTTGCCCAGGCTAGAGTGCTGTGGCGTCAGCCTAGCTCACAGCAACCTCAAACTCCTGGGCTCAAGCGATCCTCCTGCCTCAGCCTCCCCAGTAGCTGGGACTACAGGCATGTGCTAATTTTTTTTTTCTGTATATTTTTAGTTGTCCAGCTAATTTCTTTCTATTTTTAGTAGAGGCAGGGTCTCACTCTTTATCAGGCTGGTCTTGAACTCCTGACTTTGAGTGTTCCCTGCCCTCAGCCTCCCAGAGTGCTAGGATTTCAGGCATGAGCTACCATGCCACGCCGGTTTGTGAATTTCTTAAATTTTTTTTGCTTAAACTAAATCAAGAAACCGGTTTGTGAATTTCTTAAATGTTTTTTTGCTTAAACTAAATCAAGAAACTTAGCGTACTATTCTCCTCTTTTAGAAAGTATACATTGTGCAATAGCACAATCAATTTGTTACAATATACCTATTTACATGTGTCTTATCAGTGTTTGGTAAATCCCCGTGTCGGGGAAACTGAGGCCCAGAGAGAGATGAGAACTAGAATAATGTCACAAAGAGAGTTGGTACAGGATCCAAAGTAAAATTTAGATGTTCAAATGCCAAGTAATCTTGCTTGTGTATGTGTGAATGTGTGTGTGTGCATGTGTGTGTAGTAATCTTAAGTATTGGCTTGACGAATATTTACATATGGACACGTTGGGTAACCTCCATCTAGATCCAAATTTAGAACATCCCTTCTGTCCCTTCCCAACCAATGCTCACTCACAGAGGTAAACACTCCCTGACTTATAACTGTAGATTCGTTTTGCCTGTTCTTGAACTTCATATAAATGGTTCTTGAACTTCATATAAAGGAACTTCATATAAATGCCATATGAACTGAATATAATATCTGAACAGAATATAATGTCTGTGAGATTCATCCATGTTCTTGGGTGTCCGTGTGCATAATATATATTGCTGTATATGTAGGGACGTAGCATAATTAATCCAGTCTCCTGTTAGTGATCTTTAAGGGATAGTACACTCACATCCTAAAACCTTCCAGTTGCTTCGCGCTGTCAGACCGTAATATCCCAGAGAGAAGGGACCGTGCTTTCCTCTTCCATTGTCATCCTCCTAGCGCAGTGACTGCTTCCTAAGAACTTTACACTTTACAGTTGATTAATGAATGAAGTCAGCAGTTTATTAAAAGAATCCGTTGACATTCAATGGGCATCTTCTAAGAAATGGCTTTTTCTCCATTTTTATGAAGAGCAAAAGGAGTGGGAAATAAATGTGTTGATTTTTCATTCTCCTGTGTTTCCATTTAAGGTGATTTATCTCATGAGAAATCCCAAAGATATTATTGTATCTGCTTATTTTTTCTGGAATTCAGTGAATCTCGCTAAGAAACCAGAGTCGATAGAACAGTATCTCGAATGGTTCTTGGAAGGAAACGGTGAGTGTGTTGCAGTAATAAAATGCGGACGCTAGGGGGCGGTGGGAGTCCCTACGCGGTCCAGGGCGCTGCCTGCCCAGACAACACAATCCTGACCTTCTACCAGTTTTTTTTTTCCCCACAAAATGCCTCCTTCCAAAACTCCCTTCATCCTCTATTTCTATGTTTGCATGACTCTAGAATCTCTATATTTCTTCTTCTTCTTTTTTTTTTTTTTGAGACAGACTCTCACTTTGTTGTCCAGGCTAGAGTGAGTGCCGTGGCATCAGCCTAGCTCACAGCAACCTCAAACTCCTGGGCTCAAGCGATCCTCCTGCCTCAGCCTCCCGAGTAGCTGGGACTGCAGGCATGCGCCACCATGCCCGGCTAATTTTTTCTATAAATTTTAGTTGGCCAACTAATTTCTTTCTATTTTTAGTAGAGACGGGGTCTCGCCCTTGCTCAGGCTGGTTTCAAACTCCTGACCTTGAGCGATCCACCCGCCTCAGCCTCTCAGTGCTAGGATTACAGGCGTGAGCCACCACGCCCGGCCTCTATGCTTTTAATTATGCAATTATGCAGAGTCTCTGGGCTTTCTCAAGCCCTTCGATTTGGCGATTTTTCTCACAGCGGCGTGGGGAGTCCCCTGTCGCAGCTGCGGTCTGTCTCCCAGGCACCAGCAGCCTGGGGGGGGTCATAGACACCCCCATCCAACACGTTGGAGACTGAACCCATCTTTCCCTCGTACCCCAAACTGCCCCTGCTGCATGCGTATCTTCCTCAATAAATAGATCCACCCCTCCCCCAGGCCCCTCACCACTTTCCTTTATCTCCTTATTAATCAAGTCCCACCACCTCATTAATACCTTCATTCTGGCCTCTGATAAAATGCTGCCGTATTTAGGAAATCCTACAATTGCAACACGATATAAAATGGCAACCTTCCCCTCCCTGTTGCCTTCTCTTTTTATTTTCCTTAGTAGTGCTCATCGCTGACAGGTATGTATGTATTTGTTTGTTCCATGTGTCTCCCCACTAAAATGTAAGTACTTTGAGTTGTTTATCATTGAAGCCCAGGTCTTGGAAAGATTCTTGCTACATAGTAATTACTGGACGCACCTTTTTTAGACAATGAATAACCATTGACTACTGCTTCTATCTGCCCTTTATTAACCAGAGCCACTGTTACTCCTCATTTAGATTAACATGACAAATGCATTATTGGTGTCCTTACCCGCATACTCTTGGACCCTTCTAGGCTGTATTGCAATTATCTATCAGACTTTGAACAGTTCATTTTCTCTTTACAACCATCCTGGATTGCTTACCCTCAATATAAAGTCAAATCTTCAAAGCCTGATAGTCATATCTGCTATTCATTCTGGCCGAACTCTGCAGCCCTGCCTTGCTCCAAGTTAATCTTTCAGAAAAGGACTAACAGTGTAACCATATGATGGAAGCCCAGGCATGAACAGCCCTCCTCCATGCTATATTTGATCTCGCCATTTGGTACATAAAGAAGTCTGGATTGTACTTCCGCAGTCACCAGGAATCTTGTAAAATCCAGTGCATAGTGGTGAGTGATGAAGACACATCCTGTAACCCTCACCACTATCCCAATATCTTGCCCATCTGTGCTTTAAAACTCATGCACGAGCCTCTTGCTTTCTTATCCAATCAAGAGCCACCAACATCAAAATCTCCATTGTTGCCAACCAACATAAATATTGTGAGCTGTGCGTAGCCATGGAGAGGAATAAACCAAACCCTTTTCCCAGTACAGATGAAGAAACCTTGGGAGTTCAAGTTCCAGGAAATATTATTCTTAGACCCAGGCAACATGGGTTCCTGCTCTGGACCCTGGGCCTTAGAGCAGAGCTTTGGATCACACATGATAACAAGGCCTTAGGGGTCCCCTGCTCTGAACACGTTTCTTCCTGCAACAAAGTAAGGAGTCTATAGGGGCAAAGGTACTTACTTACCTGGAACTTTCGAGCTTCTTATTACCTATGCTATGGGAACCTTGAGCCATGGAATCCCTCATGCAAAAGACTCCAAGCAAGCTGTCAGGGACCGTGTGGTCCTCTGCTCTGGGTCCCACCTCCCAAGGCAGATCATGTGCACCAGCTGCATGTGCACCTCTGAACTAGATATGGCCAACGGGAAAATCAAAATGAATGACTCATAATCACTATCTGTGGGAGTCATTGAAGGCCATTAGTTTCTTGGTTCTATGCTTCTCCCAACACTTTGCATGTCCAAAGTGAAAAATGAAATAGACTCACAGAGCACACCAGAGAGCCTTCCCAGAATATCTGGACGGACTGATTGGTGAAAGGCTTTCCCAGACCAAGACAGTCTGCAAAGACTGGAATATGGCCCTGTATCTTCAAATGCACAGACACCAATGCACTGCCACAAAGAACAAGAACAATCAGGAAAATATGGCATCACTGAGGAACAAAATAAAGCACCAACAACTGGCCCTAAACAAATGCAGATGTATAAATTGCTTGGCAAAGAATTCAAAATCATTGTTTTAAGTAAGCTCAGTGAGTTTGAAGAAAAACAATTCAACAAAAACAAGAAAACAATAAATGACCAAAATGAGATATTTAATAAAGAGATTGTTATTTTTTTTAAAAAAAGGAATTTTGGAGGTGAAAAAGCAATTAAAAAAAATAAAAATGCAATAGAGAGCATCAATAGCAGAAATGTTCGAGCAGAAGAGAGAACCTGTGAATTCAAAGACAGGTTAGTTGTGAATATGCAAAGGGGAAAAAAGAATGAAAAGAAATGAGAAAAGCTTACAGAACTTATGGGGCAGCATCAAAAAAGAAGATATTCTAATTGTAGGAGTTGAAGAAAAAATGAGAGACAAAAAGCCATAAAACTTACTAAAATAAAAGCAGAGGCCAGGCATGGTGGCTCACGCCTGTAATCTTAGCACCTTGAGAGGCCAAGGCAGGAGGATCGCTCAAGGTCAGGAGTTCAAAACCAGCCTGAGCAAGAGCAAGACCGCGTCTCTACTAAAAATAGGAAGAAATCACCTGGACAACTAAAAATATATAGAAAAAATTAGCCGGGCATGGTGGCGCATGCCTGTAGTCCCAGCTACTTGGGAGGCTGAGGCAGGAGGATCGCTTGAGCCCAGGAGTTTGAGGTTGCTCTGAGGTAGGCTGATGCCCCAGCACTCTAGCCAGGGCAACAGAGTGAGACTCTGTCAAAACAAAAAAAGCAGGAAACATTACCAATCTAGGGAAAGATATAAATATCCAAGTTTAGGAAACTCAAGAATCATCAATGAGATTCAATCCAAATAAGATTATGCCAAGACATATTGTCCTCAAACATGTTATACTCTTTGTCAAAAATCAAAGACAGACACTTCTGAAAGCAGCAAGAGAAAAGAAGCATATTGCACATAAGGGAATTCCAATAAAGCTAGCAGCAGACTTCTCAGCAAAACCTTTATAAGCAAACAGAGAGTGGGATGATATAATCAAAATGCTGAGGGAAAAACATTGTCAACCAAGAATACTTTACCTTGCAAATCTGCCTTTCAGAAATGAAGAGGCAGTAAAGATTTCTCCAGACAAACAAACGCTGGGCGAGGGCATCATTACCAAACCTGTCTCATAAGAAATAATAGGCCAAATGTGGTCGTTCACTCCTGTAATCCTAGCACTCTGGGAGGCTGAGGCGGGAGGATTGCTTAAGGCCAGGAGTTCAAGACCAGCCTGAGCAAGAGTGAGACCCTGTCTCTACAAAAAAAAATGTTTAAAAATTAGCTGGGCATGGTGGTGTGTGCCTGTAGTCCCTGCTACTTGAAAGGCTGAAGCAGGAGAATCACTTGAGCCCAAGAGTTTGACGTTGCTGTGAGCTACAATAACACCACTGCACTCTAGCCAGGGTGACAGAGCAAGACTCTGTCAATGAAATGAAATGAAATGAAATGAAATGAAATGAAATGAAATAGAAAAGAAGAAAGAAAGGGAAGGAAGGAAGGGAGAGAGGGAGAGAAGGAAGGAAAAGAAAAATAAAGAGAATTCTTCAAGCAAAAGAAAAGGATGCTTATTATAATACTGCCACAAAAACATATGAAAATCTAAAACTCACTTGTGAAAGTAAGTACCCAAATTCGGAATACTTTAATATCATAATAGTGGTGGGTAAATCACTTATATCTTTAGTGTCACAGTTAAAAGACAAAACTATTAAAAATAATAATAGCTACAATAATTTGTTAAGGGATATGCAGTATGAAAAATGTAAATTGTGACATCAAAAACCTAAAATGTGGAGTAAGTGTTGGGTGAGGATTGGATAGAAGGTAGGGTAGGGAGTGGGCTAAAACAATAAACAAAAAAGAAAACATAAAATGTGGAGGGTGGATTAAAAGGATAGAATGTATGTGGAATCTTTAAAAAGTCAGACTCTTAGAATCGGCGAGTAGAATGGAGGTCAACAGGAGTGGGGGGGACAGTGGGATTAACCAGACATCAGGCAAAGGGTACAAAGTTTCGGTTAGACAAGACGATTGATTAAGTTTCCCAGATCTACTGTACAGAATGTTGACTATAGTTAATAATAACATACTATATACTTGAAAATTGCTAAGAGGGTAGATCTTCAATGTTCTCACCACCCAAAAATTGGGAAGTATGTGAGGTGATGACTATGCTACTTATCTCGATTTTATCATTTCACAGTGGTATACATGTATCAAAACATCATGTTGTAGAACTGAGAAGTACTGGTGAATAAATAAAAAAAATAAAAATAAAATAAAAATAAATAAAAAAAATAAATAAACATCATGTTGTACACCGTAAATATATACAAGTTTTATGTGTCAATTGTATCTTGATCGAGCTGGTAGGGGAGTGAACATAATAGATTGGATTAACCCACCTCTCTTTCTGCCTTCCCCCATGCAGTGGTATACGGGTCATGGTTTGACCACGTTCATGGCTGGCTGTCCATGAGAGAGAGGGGAAACTTCCTGCTGCTGAGTTACGAAGAGCTGAAATGGGTAACCATCGTTGTAACAGTTGATACACAGCCTCTCACCACCATCACTTCCTCTGACTTCCAACTCTGTTTCCCTGTGTCTCCATTCCACCTTCTCAGTCAAAATTTAGCCTCATGAAGAGTCACTCAGAGTGAGATTAGCTCTTGGTCTTCACCGTCCTACTTCTGGTTGACCCTTCTCAAGCTTCATGCTCTTTCTTGTGTTCTTCTTTCATGTATTCTTCTTTATTTTATCCTCTTAAAACACTGAAAAGGGCATTTTTCCATGCATTCAGGCAGAGTACAGTGGCTTACGCCAGCCCTGGTGGTTGTAAAAGTTTGTGTGGGCAGGACACATGGGGCTGCCGCCAACCTAGTGTTGAGAAGGCGCTGGGGAGGGAGACAGAACCGGGCAGAGACAGTTCAGTTCCAGAAACGTGTCCAACGGTCTGACACCAAAGCTTGACGGATAAGAAGAGAAATGAAGGCATGAAATCAATCTGTGTAAATATTCTGAGATGCCAAGTACTAGAGGGGCTACTGATGGCCAGGAAAAGCTGTCATGTGATGCTCAGAACCAGTAAGAGTGATTAGGACCATTGTGTTGATTAAAAGAACTTGACCTATTAGTGGTATTGTGGAGAAAAAAGAAAATAACATAAACACTGGATTTTGCTTCCATGTAAGAAACATTACTCCCCACTTTCCCATCACCTTCCTCTGGCTACCTCTGTCCAGTCTTCGATGGTCTCAGCATCAGTTCCATTGTAGTCAAGAAGCTACCCCAGGTACATGATCTCGTACCTTCCTGCAAGTTTCCTTTCAACCCCCACACTCAACTCCCACGTTAGCTCTCTCCCAAGTTGTGTGTCTTCTTGTGAGATAATAACTGGGGCTCGTGAAATCAAAATTTGAAAGCATTACGGTTCTAAATGAAAGGTCTGTGATTCAAAGCAAAGTCTTTCTGGCATAAAAATCTATTTTCTTATCATAATCTCCCAGGATCCCATACCAAGTACTATTATAATTATTGAGATCATATACAAGAAGATACTGTAAGGCTCTACATATTATTCAAACGTTAGTTATAAAAAACAGTATATTGGTTTTTTTTGTTGTTTTTGGTTTTTCTTATTTTTTTTGTACCTTTTTTTTTTATTTCGGCATATTATGGGGGTACAGATTTTAAGGTTTCAATAAATGCCCATTTCCCCCCTCCCCCCAAAAGTCTGAGTCTCCATCATGACCATCCCCCATGTTGTTTTTGTTTTGTTTTGTTTTTTTGAGACAGAGTCTCGCTCTGTTGCCCAGGCTAGAGTGAGTGCCGTGGCGTCAGCCTAGCTCACAGCAACCTCAACCTCCTGGGCTCAAGCGATCCTCCTGCCTCAGCCTCCCGAGTAGCTGGCACTACAGGCATGCGCCACCATGCCCGGCTAATTTTTTATATATATATTAGTTGGCCAATTAATTTCTTTCTATTTATAGTACAGACGGCGTCTCTCTCTTGCTCAGGCTGGTTTTGAACTCTTGACCTCGAGCAATCCACCAGCCTCGGCCTCCCAGAGTGCTAGGATTACAGGCGTGAGCCACCGCGCCCGGCCCAAAAACAGTATATTGTCCCACAACAGTATCAACTCCTTTTAGAGGCAGGAAAGAAAGAATTTTAAAAAAGACAGAAAAAATAAAATAAAAGAAAGAAATTATAAAATTAAAAAAAAAACAGTATATTGTTTGATGGCACGGACAAGATTTGAAATCAATTTCTTAAATCTTTGTCAAGTGCTCCCTGAACTTCTCCTTGCTTAAGGCTAATCATTGTCTAGAATCCGTTCTCAAAGTCTCTTTAGAAACCCTAGATCCTGTCTCTTACTGTTAAGTTACCCTAAACTCAACCACACCGGGAAATCCATGATGTGCCTTGCACCTTTTGCATACTTTGTGCTCTCTCTTCTTTACCGTTTTCTCTTTCCTTCTCCTAGGTGTGTCCAACTCAATCAGTTCTCACCTCCATATCTTGTTCCTCTCTTCTTCTTCCCCCTCCTCCTCCACGTTCTGTAGTCTCCTCCTTCTCATCTTATTTTCTCTTTCATGTCGTCTCCCTTTTCTTGTTTTGTTTCAGGACCCAGAAAGAACCATAGGGAAGATCTGTCAATTCCTGGGTAAGAAGATGGAACCTGAGGAACTGAACTTAATCGTCAAGAACAGCTCCTTTCAGATCATGAAAGACAACAAGATGTCCAATCTTTCCCTCCTGGATGATGTTTATGTAGCTAAAAAAAATCCGCTTATGAGAAAAGGTAAAAAGAAAACACTCTGGTTTCAAAACGTGGCAGAATGCATGGAAGGCATTCTTGTGCTTAAATCGGGGCGCGAACAGCTGAGATGATGGAGTGTTGGAACATGTCCACTTTGATTGTTCATGACCCAGAGAATGTCTCACCTGCCCTTATCGGGGAGTCTCTTTTCATGGTACTGATGTGGGCTACAGGTGTCCAGAGACAGTCGATCCACCCTGGGTTGGTCGTCTGACTGTTGCGAAATCATTTAGTCTCTCTCTCCTGCAAATTTGACGTGGGGGGGTATCCACTCCACAAGCAGTGACCAGGTTAATGAGCTACTCCCCCAGGCTTGCAAGCTGGGATTGACGTGGGGAAAGAGGGCGGAATTGGGGCTCATCGTGTGAGGGTTACCCCACCGGTGAGTTAGAGTAGAGAACTATCCTTAATAACAACACATGTGAAGGAACGACTCAGATGGAAAAAGGACAGAGGAGAGACTTTGCTATCAGACATTGCAAGGCCCCTTGTGATAAAAGCTTAATCATGTCCCCACCCTTGGGCTCAAGATGAATGAAATTGTCTGTTGCATGAAGTTAAAGAATCCATTTTTCCAAAACCCTACAGTCCAGATATATCAGGGATGGTGATCCATGCAAGAAAAAAAAAAAAAAAAGTGAATGCTTGAAAAGACCTGGAGCAGGTCAGGGCCACTGCCACCCCAGTTGGCCAAGAGGACAGAGACCAAGATTAGTCTTGAGCCTTAAAATCTCATGGAATTTGCCCTGCTAGGTTTTGGGTTGCTGGAGACCCATGACCCCTTTCTTCTTTCAAATTTCTCTCTTTTGGAATGAGAATATCTACCTATGCCTGTCCCACCGTGGTATTTTGAAAGCAGGTAACATGTCTGGGTTCACAGGTTGGCAGCTGGAGGGGACTTTTGCCTCTGAATGAATCAGACCTCAAGTCTCACTCATTCCTTGGTGTGACTTAGGTGAGATTTCGATGAGATTTTGGACTGCGAGTTGATGCTGGAATGGGTTAAAACTTTGGGGCTGGGCGGGGCGTGGCTAGGCTCACGCCTGTAATCCTAGCACTCTGGGAGGCCAAGGCTTGGGAACACTCAAGGTCAGGAGTTCAAGACCAGCCTGATCAAGAGTGAGACCCCCCCCATCTCTACTAAAAATAGAAAGAAATTAGCTGGACAACTAAAAATATGTAGAAAAATATTAGTGCATGCCTGTAGTCCCAGCTACTTGGGAGGCTGAGGCAGGAGGATTGCTTGAGCCCAGGAGTTTGAGGTTGCTGTGAGCTATCATGATGCCACTGCACTCTAGCCAGGGTGACAACTGGAGACTGTCTCAAAAAAAAAAAATAAAAATAAAAAAGGAAATGGGCTGCGAGAGGGAAGGTAGAAAATCATTTCCAGGCAGGTAGAAGGTTAAAGGGCATGTGGCCAGGCAGTATCAGGGCCGACCCATGAACCGTTGGTCATTCTGCTGTATTAGCTGCAATGTCCGTGACGGGTGGACAGTAGGGACAGACCAAGTAGGAGACATGTTGGGGTCCTCAGACTTACCCCTTATCTGACCTCAGTCTCTGTTTCATGTTTTCCAGGCGTAACTGGAGACTGGAAAAACTACTTCACGGTGGCCCAAGCTGAAGCCTTTGATAAAGTATTCAAGGAGAAGATGGCAGATCTTCCTAGGGACTTGTTCCCTTGGGAATAATGTCCAAAATATCTCATATGCATGCTGACATTTGTCCTCCTGTCCCTGTACATGTGCATGATGGTGGGGGGGAGGGGTTCATGGCAGAAAACCTATAATTTCATCCTGGAGCCTTAAAATATGAAATCTTTGGCCGGGCGCGGTGGCTCACGCCTGTAATCCTAGCTCTCTGGGAGGCCGAGACGGGCGGATTGCTCAAGGTCAGGAGTTCGAAACCAGCCTGAGCAAGAGCGAGACCCCGTCTCTATTATAAATAGAAAGAAATTAATTGGCCAACTAATATATATAGAAAAAATTAGCCGGGCATGGTGGCGCATGCCTGTAGTCCCAGCTACTCGGGAGGCTGAGGCAGGAGGATCGCTTGAGCCCAGGAGTTTGAGGTTGCTGTGAGCTAGGCTGACGCCATGGCACTCACTCTAGCCTGGGCAACAGAGTGAGACTCTGTCTCAAAAAAAAAAAAAAAAAAATATGAAATCTTTGTCTCTTTGACTCCACTCCCTTGTTAAAAATGACCAGGGTACCCGTACGCATGTCACGGCATCCCCGACTTCTTTAAATGTTTGTAACATTTCAAGCATCTAGAGAATGCTATAGAAATAATATAAGTATTATCCAAAAGTGTGTCCAAAAAAATTATAAAAATAAGAAATAGTCACAGTGGTGGATTTTAGAGCAAATAAGAATAACAAGCAAAATAAGAAATAAAATTACAGAAGCAATTAAGGCTCCTTTTGTTTCCATCCCATGTGCCTCCAAAATGTATTATTATTCTGAGCTGGGGAGGGTAATTCCTGCAGAACAGCCTGTCGTGTCGCGTGGCAAGAGTGACGCCATCTTGAAGCGAAACCACCAAGGCGACCAAGGTTTTAACTCCCGCAGCAAAGCCTTGCGACAACGCCTGCAGCCCACAGCACCCCTCATAAAGATGGTCATCCCAAAGAATACCTAAGACGTGACCAGCTGCGTTTACCCTAAAAGCTCGCTCTCTCTATATATAAAGGATATTTTCTGGAAGGCAGGTACAGCGATCTACCATTTCTCAACCACCTGAGACATCACCTCTGGTTGCAAGTCCCTATGAAATATTTCTTTCTGAGCAACTGGATTTCTTAGCCTCTTTCTTTGGCCTCCTTCGGTACTTAGGAGGAGGTTTCTATGTACCTGCTCACCATCAAAACGGTTCCCAACCTAGTTTTTTGTTCTCTTCCTCCGTGGTGTTTGACCATAGACAATAAATGGCATTTATGCAGGCTTATACAATAAATGTATAGAAATGGGACCTGGAATGGCGGCTCACTCCTGTAACACTAGCTAATGCTAGCACTCTGGGAGGCCAAGGTGGGAGGATCGCTCAAGGTCAGGAGTTCGAAACCAGCCTGAGCAAGAGTGAGACCCTGTCTCTACTACAAATAGAAAGAAATTAATTGGCCAACTAAAGATATATAGAAAAAATTAGCCGGGCATGGTGGCGCATGCCTGTAGTCCAGGCTACATGGGAGGCTGAGGCAGGAGGATTGCTCAAGCCCAAGAGTTTGAGGTTGCTGTGAGCTAGGCTGACACCACGGCACTCTAACCCAGGGAGCAGATTGAGACACTGACTCATAAAAAAAAAAAAAATTTAAGTACAGAATCCTGAGCACATCTGAGTTTTGTGTCACGAAGTATAAAGACTGGGGGTGATGTGAACGGATTACGTAGCTGTTGCAATACCGTGTTTCCCCAAAAATAAGACCTACCCATAAAATAAGCCCTAGCAGGATTTCTAAGCATTTGTGCAATATAAGCCCTACCCCCAAAATAAGCCCTAGTGATGGGCGTGGCTCCGCAGCGCATCTGCACAGCCCGTGCATTTTGTTGTGGAGCTGGAAAGAAGACGAGCAGCTCTTCTCATCTGCCCCATCGTGACAGCTACCATCCCAGAGGTGACAGGAAAGGGGCGGGCAGCCCCACCAACAAGGTCGGCTCCCCCTGTCGGGTCCCGGCCATCCTGTGCGTGCTGCAAGCTGAGGCTTTGGGGGGAAAATAACACAACCCCTGAAAATAAGCCCTAGGGAGTCTTCTTGAGGAAAAATAAATAATAAGACCCTGTCTTGTTCTCGGGGAAACACGGTAGTAGAAGGAAAACCATGGTTTGGTTTAAGATTATGACATCGGAGGCCGGGCGTGGTGGCTCACCCCTGTAATCCTAGCACTCTGGGAGGCCGAGGCAGGAGGATCCCTCAAGGTCAAGAGTTCGAAACCAGCCTGAGCAAGAGCGAGACCCGTCTCTACTATAAATAGAAAGAAATTAATCGGCCAACTAATATATATAGAAAAAAAAATCAGCCGGGCATGGTGGCACATGCCTGTAGTCCCAGCTATTTGGGAGGCTGAGGCAGGAGGATCGCTTGAGCCCAGGAGTTTGAGGTTGCTGTGAGCTAGGCTGACGCCACGGCACTCACTCTAGCCTGGGCAACAAAGTGAGACTCTGTTTCAAAAAAAAAAAAAAACTTGGGCACCATCTGGGGACAGCTGGTCCAGCTACTACTGCTTTTGAATGCTTACTGCCGGGCCCAGGACCAGATCTAAGCCCTCGGTATGGCATCATCCCTCAAGCGGGTGCCAAGCAGGCACTTGGCAAGTTCAGCGGGGCAGACCCGTTTCAACCCAAAGGACGCAGTGGTTTGTTATCCTACTCGATACCTTCCGGTCTGTAAAGCCTCGGCCACCACCGCTCTCCAAGAGGGCTGACAGAACGCTGGATTGACGGACATGGGGATCTATACACCATTTGCTCCAAACGCAAGATCAATTGTATGAAAATGGAATTGCAGGGATGGGCACATGACCTCAGAATTCACTGCTCATCTGAAAACAGCTGGCTTTGATACAAAATTGGAATAACTTAGTAAATCATTGTCTAAGGTATGAGCTTAAGAATAATCATCTGTACGTTTTTTTTGGTGTTTTTTTGTTTTTTGTTTTTTTTTGAGACAGAGTCTCACTCTGTAGCCCAGGCTAGAGTGCTGTGGCATCAGCCTAGCTCACAGCAACCTCAAACTCCTGGGCTCAAGCAATCCTCCTGCCTCTGCCTCCCAAGTAGCTGGGATTACAGGCATGTGCCACCATGCCCAGCTAATTTTTTCTATATGTTTTCAGTTGGCCAATTAATTTCTTTCTATTTATAGTAGAGACGGGGTCTCGCTCTTGCTCAGGCTGGTTTTGAACTCCTGACCTTGAGCGATCCTCCCACCTCGGCCTCCCAGAGTGCTAGGATTACAGGCGTGAGCCACCGCGCCCGGCCGACCTGTAGGGTTTGAGGGCTGTTCTACAGGATACAGAATCAGCAATAAGCCAACAGCTGGTTAAGGAGGATCACTTGAGGCTAGGAGTTCAAGACCAGCCTGGGCAACATAGCAAGACCCCAACTCTACCAAAAAAAAAAAAAAAAAGTAAGAAAGAAAAAAAAAATTATCTGGGCACAGTGGCACACACCTGTAGTCCCAGCTACTCAAGAGGCCAGGGTGGAGTGAGTGCTCGAAAGAGAAAGGAGGAGGGCGCTTCAGGCGACAGTACTGCGGACGCCATCATCCTGTTTCTCTACTACACCGACCTCGACGTCTTGGCTGTGTCCCACCTGTCTGCAGCCTATTGCAGCACGAGGGTGTCAGTTGTTGGTCCCGCCCAGAACACTTCAGTTCTGCTCTGCAAGGATATATAATAACTGATTGGTGTGTCCATTTAATACAACAAAATGGAAACCGAACAGCCAGAGGAAACCTTCCCCAACACGGAAACCAAAGGTGACTTTGGTAAACGCCCTGCAGAAGATATGGAAGAGGAACAAGCATTTAAAAGGTCTAGAAACACTGATGAGATGGTTGAATTATGCATTCGGCTTCAGAGCAGGAATGTTGGGGCAGTGGTTGGAAAAGGAGGCAAGAATATTAAGGCTCTCCGCGCTGACTGCAATGCCAGTGTTTCAGTCCCAGACTGCAGCGGCCCCGAGCGCATATTGAGTATCAGTGCTGATACTGAAACAATTGGAGAAATTCTGAAGAAAATCATCCCTACCTTGGAAGAGGGCCTGCAGTTGCCATCACCCACTGCAACCAGCCAGCTCCCGCTCGAATCTGATGCTTAATTGCTGTGGAATGCTTAAATTACCAGCACTATAAAGGAAGCGACTTTGACTGCAGAGTTGAGACTGTTGATTCATCAGAGTCTGGTGGGAGGAATTATTGGGGGCAAAGGTGCTCAAATCAAAGAACTTCGTGAGAACACTCAAACAACAATCAAGCTTTTCCAGGAATGCTGTCCTCATTCCACTGACAGAGTCGTTCTTATTGGAGGAAAACCTGATAGGGTTGTAGAGTACATAAAGATCATTCTCGATCTTATATCTGAGTCTCCCATCAAAGGACGTGCACAGCCTTATGATCCCAGTTTTTACGATGACACTTATGATTATGGTGGTTTTACAATGATGTTTGATGACCGCCTGTAGGATTTCCAATGCGGGGAAGAGGTGGTTTTGACAGAATGCCTCCTGGTTGGGGTGGGCGTCCCATGCCTCCGTCTAGAAGAGATTATGATGATATGAGCCCTCGTGGAGACCACCTCCCCCTCCTCCTGGTCGAGGTGGCCGGGGTGGTAGTAGAGCTCAGAATCTCCCTCTTCCTCTTCCACCACCTCCTAGAGCAGGAGATCTAATGGCCTATGATAGAAGAGGAAGACCTGGAGACCTCTACGATGGCATGGTTGGTTTCAGTGCCGACGAAACTTGGGACTCTGCAAGAGATACACGGAGCCCATCAGAATGGCAGGTGGCTTATGAACCACAGGGAGGCTCTGGATCTGATTATTCCTATGCAGGGGGCCGTGGCTCATACGGTGATCTTGGTGGACCTATTATTACTACACAAGTAACTATTCCCAAAGATTTGGCTGGATCTATTATTGGCAAAGGTGGTCTCAGCAGATTAAGCAAATCCGTCATGAGTCCGGAGCTTCAATCAAAATCGATGAGCCTTTAGAAGGATCCGAAGATCAGATCATTACCATCACAGGAACACAGGACCAGATACAGATGCACAGCATTTGCTGCAGAACAATGTGAAGCAGTATTCTAGAAAGTTTTTCTAAGACTAGTGAAGAACTGAAGGAGTCCTGCATCTTTTTTTTTTTTTATCTCCTTCTGTTTAAAAAGCCAA